CAAAACATTGGCTTGAATGGTGGAGGGGTTTTCTTGCATGTAATTCACTTTTAATACTGTGTCCCTTGAAGCTGTCTTTGGTGTGCACCAAGCATGTTTACTATGACTCTGTCATTGTCTTTCCATTCAATGGCAAACCGAAGCTTTGCTCTAATGTTGTGTTTGGACAGCAAAGGTTTTGTACCTGGTGCTGCTCTCATGTCGGTCAAACGCTTTCTGATTGTGAATGGATTCAGTTTCTGTGTCTGTGGAGAGGTCATCACAAGAGTTAGCTAGTAAATTAGACTAGAAGTAACTGAAGTGAAATTCAAAGTACCAAGTATCAGTACTCTCTATCAAAAAGGAAGTGGGTACTGATACTTGTGTGGTGGTTCCCTGGGAGAACACCCTGGACAGGTCACCAATCTATCGCACAGACAGCCATTCATGTTCAAATTCAAACCAATTTAAGCATGAATGTTCAAATCAGTGTGAAGGCAATTCATCACCAGTTAACCTGACCCCATGCTTGTCTTTGGGAGAGACCCTGGAGGAACCCATGAAGAATCCACACAGAAAAGACCGGACTGGACTCGAACCCAGGACCTTCTTGCTGCGACGGGACTGTGCTAGCCACTGCTTCACAAAAACAAAACAATTAAATAATAACATTTAAAAAATATTATTGGATAGATCAATAGACGGATAATGATGATTTTAAAATATAAAAAATATGTAGATGTATGCTAAAGTGTAAGCACAACAGCTATAGAAAGCACATATATTATTGGGGGGTTTTTTTTGTATTTTTCTATGGGAATCGATGTAAATACAGCCATGTAATTTTCACCATTTAGAATCAACAGCATCGTGTGGAGCTGTTTGCTTCTCTATCAGAAGCAAACAGCTTCCACACGATAGCCCTAGCCCATCTCTGAAAACCCACTGCAACAGAAATATGTTGCACTTCCTTTGCAACAGCTCAGTAGGTACATAACTAAGAAAGACATACTAAGAGGTTACCATATAATTTTATTTATTTTTTTATCCAGAAGGTGCTGTGAAGTTCACTGGGCTAAGTGGAGCATGGGTTAAGAAGAGCATTATTTTGAGGCTGAGTATTGGGGGTTATTAGAACTCATTGCCTTGAGGCCAAGAGAGAGACACTGAGAACCAGTTTAGAGTCCATCCTATTCTTAAGCTCCATGGCCTAAAGAAAATCTGGTTTATTAGACTGTGAGTTAATACCTAGAAACAAAACCAAATTTGCCTGTTGTAGAGCAAAACCACTTCTCTCAGACGGATGGACGTCACTGTCACATCCATTAGGTTAGCCCTAATGACAGAAATGCATATAAGAACATGTTAAATATATTATAATAAATGACTAGCATGGAGGGAGGGGTGCTATTTGTGTTTAACAATAACAAAATAAGGAGTTTGGCTTTTAGAAATGATTTTGAAGGCTGATGGCTCCCTCTGCTGTTGATATATAATATCCAGGCACTCTCCATGCTGCACACACTCTTTCAGCAGTTTGGACACTTCAACAAGATGCAGCCATTTTAATGTTACCATAACACCTCTGCTCTTCCTGATATGAGAAAATAAACTCTTTGTAGTTTTAGCTTAGATGTGGTGTACGTAAAGGCCAGCATAATGGCAAAACTGTCCTGAATTCAGAGCTGTGGTGGTGTTTTGTCTGCAGGTTAAATATTTTAGAAATGTACACAAACAGATCACAAATTCATGGAACCATTTACTGACACAAAAAATAATTTAATATACAGTTTTTATAATAATATATATGATGAAATATTCATAAAGACAACAGGTACGGAAACTGACATTATCATTAGTTAATACAGTTAATACAGGTAATGATAATTGCAATCCTTAAAACAGGAGCAAAAAGTTGCAAAATACATGTGTGTGTGTGTGTGTGTGTGTGTGTGTGTGTGTGT